ACTATTGGGACGGTTCGGTTCGGTATGGTTTAGTTCGGATTTTCGGAGATTTCTTATTTTTTTTTAAAATTTTTTGAATGACTATCTAGTTGTATTTTAATTTTTATATGCTTTAAAAAACAACATTCATCGATAATTCATCATATTGAAGATTTTAGAAGTAACTCTAAATTTGAGTTATTTAATTTTATATGTTTTAATAAAACCAATATTCATCAATACTTCTTCATATTAAAGATTTATTTTGAAATCAACTTTAGAAGTAACTTTAAATTTTAGTTAAGACTAAATTTGTGCAACTAATATTGAAAATTGAAATATTCAATCAAAATATAATATTTATTTTCTTAAAAAAAATTCTTTAACCTTGAATATTATTTTAAATAATTATTTTATAAAAAAAAATCAATTGTAGATAAAGTATTACTAATCATTAAATTTAAGTGAAGGTTAATAGTTATTATTATATTATATAGAATCAAAGTTGACATAAAATATATTAATAACACATCTAATGTTATAATTTTGTTCTTAATTTCGGTTCTTCGGTTGGGTACGGTATGAGACAGTTCGGTTTGGTTCTCGGCACGGATATTTGTGAAATCTCCAGAATCATACCAATTATTTTTCGGTTTCATTCGGATCGGATAAAGTCAAACGGTCACAGGTTATTTTTCGGTTCAGAGTGATTTTAGTTCGGTTTTCGGAACGATTCGGAATTCTTCGAGTCCCATGCTCAGCCCTGACCACAAACAAACAAAAGGGAAGTGGATTACCAAAACTATATTCCCTCAAATTTTGTCATCTCTTTTTTCTCAAGGATGTGAACCTAAACGGTACGACCAGTATCAACAGCGGCTCGCGGCTGATGCCTTGTAAAGATAATGATGTAACTTTACCTAATAAGGAGACCCGAAGAGGGGCATGAAAAGCGGTAATAAAGGCGCCGCTATGATCCCTAATCAGGCCCCCACCTCCTATAACTTCGGTAAGTCGGTCAAAGGCTCCACCAGTGTTTAGCTTAACCCAAGGCGACTCGAGTTTCAGCCAAACAACAGCTCTGGGACGTGGATGCCAGATAGGCGCCAGCGGAGGTGGTGCAAGGCGGTGAGGTGGTGTGCAACCTGTCCAGTCTCTACAGGTGAGTCTGCCCAAAGCGGTGAGGAAGGAGAGGCGTCGGTCCTGCCCTCATACGGATGGACCAGATGGGATACCCTTCATTCAAATTTATGTAGTCGGTCATACCTTTTAGCACATCTGCCACAATGTGATGCTGACTTTATCGCCGGGACTCTCCCCGGGCCAGGATCTGTTATTTTTGTATTTCTCGCTGCAGTTGTAAACTTTTTCTTGTATATTTTCTTGCTTTTTTTTTTTGTTTTTCGTTGGACTTGATATATATCAGACGTTGGACTTTTAGCTTTGTGACTTTTCAGTCCATTTAGGGTCTTTTTGTATACAGGTTGGGGATTCGGCCTTAACCCTCACCCTTCTGGGGTGTTGTTTGTGTTAAAAAAAAAAAAAACTTCACCTAATAAGGAGCGCAGAAGTTGTTCGATAAATTCTCCAACAGAAAAAGAATGTTCCGTGAATGGCCTCCGGGCAATTTGGAGTACCTTCTCAACCTGTCGGTAGCCCAAGCTCCTTCCGATCAGCAGCCCATCCTCCTTTCAACAACCAAACCCTCAGATGTTCGATTGGTCCTGCACCTACCGCCTCCTCCGTCAACACTAGTTTAAACTCTAAAGCCTCAAAGGAACCTCTCGTCACTGCCCCAATCGCCACCATGATTTCGAGCGCCATATTCGAGCCGGAAGTCACCGAACATCATATCTTTGGGTTCGGTCAGACGACGGCAGCGGTCAACACAAAACTTGCCCTAGTCTTGTATGCAACATCTCATTGTGCTCCTTGCTTCGGCCGGTAAGTTCTCCTTCTGGACCTGCTTTTTCAGAGTCCAATTTGTCTTTATTTTTTTGGTCCAATTCTGTTGGGCTCTTTTTCACCCCAAGCTTTTCCCAACAAGCCCAAACCATCAACCTTCCCACTCTATACTCTAGCCTATAAAACCCCAAATTTTCTGTTCAGCCCCTGGATCGGGAACCCAAAACTAAATCGACGGCCATGGACCGACAAAATCCTACCTCTCGGCAGCCCAAATAATCATCTCACCCGAGCCCCTCTCCTTCGACACTCTTTCTCTATCCTGCAGCATCCCAAAAGTTCTTCTTTCTCCTTGGAAACTCTCTAAAATGTCTGAGGACCTCAAATATGCCCTTATAGGAAAATTCTCTTTCGGCCAACCCTCCGACGAGGCTATTCGGTCGAACCTCACTCTCTTGGGTTTCATTGGATGCAAAAAAATTTCTCCTTCAAGCCAATCACGTCTTGATCAAAGTCGACGACCCAAACACGTTCACCAACCTTTGGTTGAAACACGAAATCTCTATTCTAAATTTTCGTACGAGGATTTTCAAATGGTCCACTAATTTCGATTTAAAAAAAAAACCACCTATTGTCCTAGTTCGGATCAAAGTCCCAGCTTGTTGTGTAGAAAATTGTTATTTACCGAGTACCGAATCGAAAAATTCGTTTCTCGGGTCGATCTCACGAGGAAGGTTGGCCGGATTATTATGCACGTTTATTCAACACAAAAAGTAGAAATCTATTTGGAGTATTTTTGGGCAATTGGTAACCGAGTTACCTGGACTCGGGTCATTCTCAAAGGAAGGCTCTTTGGAGCTTCGTTCACTATCTAGTCGCCAAATCACACAACCAAAAAGGTCCTAAACATGCTACTCGCTTGAAGGGATGAATTTAAGCTAAACTAATCTACAAAATGGAGGGCAATTGAAAGCAATCAACAAAGCAAGAGAAAGCACGCAAGAAGATGAGAGAAATCGAGGGGGAAAGAGAGATTTTGGTTCGCCAGAGTCTCCATGATCAAACACACACAAATAACCAAACATTGCCATGCTAGCTAAAACCCTAGGAAGCTAAACCAAACTCTAGCACAAGACGAGCAAACATTTAACTCCTAATCACACTTAGTCAAGCATTCACGATCTAAAGATTCAATCTTTTCCTCCAAACAACACAAGCACAATATCAATTTTCACAAAAGCAAACAAAGATATACAAAGTAATGAGGCTTAAGACTAAGTACCCACTCTTACACGCACTTGGAAGGATAAATGGAGTCAAAAGCTCGAAACTTTACTCGAAACAATGTCGCCGGAAATTCGCCGGAAAACTTGATTCATAAGCTCCAAACCAAAAAATAAAAAAGAGAAAAAGGAAATAAAGAGGATTTTCCCAACTTAAAAGTTGGGAAATGAGGGTTGTATCCAAAAAAAATACAAAGCACAATGTCTATTTATAGCTACACTATAAACACACACTAAAAACACACACATTCAACGAAATTCTGAAGTTCGCGGGTCTCGAAACGGACTTCGCAGCGAGTTTGGACATGAAAATCAAATGGAAATGAGCTTTCGCAGGTCGCCAAAGAAGGTTCGCTGGCGAGTTGGGTCTTGGGTGCTGCAGATAGGCGTTTCGCAGCTCGTGAAAGTGTGTTCACTGGCGAGTGTTCCATGTGGCTAGTGTTGGGCGTGGTGTTTCGCTGGGCGCGAGTCTCCATTCGCTGGCGAGTGCTGTTGATGTGTGTTGGGGCCATGCGCTTCGCCGGGCGCGAGGTGTGGTTCGCCAGCGAGTGCGTGCTGGTAAGGGTCATATGCGCTACCTTCGCGGGACGCCAAATTGATGCGGAAGTGGCTAGGCAGCTCAAGAACGCGGCTAGCCGGGCCTATCACGCATGCAAGAGGCAAGCACGAGCGACGATAGAAGTACGCGTGCTGGAGCAAAGTACGCACGAGACGGGCAAGGATAGGCTACATACACGGGCGACGG